GCTGGGAGCACCTCCTCCGTGCAGCCTGGAGGCTGGGGGGGGGTCTTTACTGCTCTGTCAGGGGTGGCTGTAGAGAGGATGGAGCCGGGCCGGCTCTTCTCGTGGCACAACTTGAAAAGAGGCAACTTTGTTAGACGTTAGGGAAGGGCTTTTCCCCCTTGAGGGTGGTTGAACGCTGCAACAGGGACCTGGGAAAGGGGGGGGGAGTATCTCCAAATATCTCTGCCCTTGGAGATGGTCACGAGTGAGCTGAACAAACTCTGAGCAACCTGACATGGCTGGCTGGACCAGGGACCCCCCGAGGTCCCTGCCCACCCCGGTATGCTGCGATGCTCCTCATCCCACAGGTGACGGGCAAGTTCCGCGGTGGTGTCAACCCCTTCACCAACGGTTGCTGTAAGAACGTCAGCCGGGTCCTCTGCAGCTCCCCGGCCCCCAGGTGAGCCCGGCACAGCGTGGCAGTGCCCCCCCCCCCCCAGCCCTGCAGCACCCGGGCACACTGCTCCGTTCTGAGCTCCAGGCCTTGACCTTCCTCCCACCCCTCTCCATAGGTACCTCGGGCGCCCAAAGGCTGAGCAGACGGTGCTGGTGAGACCCCCCTTCTTGCGGCCCGAGGTGTCAGACGGTCAGATCACTGTCAAGATCATGGACAACGGTATCCAGACAGAGCTGAAGAGGACGAAGGTGAGGAAGGCGGGGATTAGCGCTCCCTGCGTTGGGGCCCTCCATGGAGCCCAGGGGTGCAAGCCTGCATCCGTGAGTAAAGAACCGAGTGAGCCTTGTCACGTCCCCTGTCCCTCTCCATGTCGTCTTGTTCTGTGTCCCCATGGGACGGAAACCATGTCCCTCCCATGCAGCAGCGATCCCATGAGGTTCTGCCCCCTCCACTGCCCTTCCCCATCCCGTCCTTCCCCCGCACAGCACCCTTTGGAGGTTCCCCCTTCCCCAGCACCCGAGGCACGTGCCACCTTCAAGCACTCAGAACGTTGGATGGCCCGGGAGGCAGCGAGAGCCCCCTTCGTGCTGCTGCCCGCTCCCTGCCTGCCGAGGGGAGGGCTGAGGCCTTGGCACCCCCCTGATCTTCCCTCTGCGCTTTGTCTCTGCAGTCCAAAGGAAGCCTGGAGGTGACGGAGAGCCAGTCTGCCGACGCCGAACCGCCACCCCCACCTAAGCCAGACCTCAGCCGCTACACGGGCCTGAGGACACACTTAACCTTGGCCACCAACGAGGGTAAGGAAGGCACAGAGGGGCCCCAGCAGCCGCTGGGAGGGGAGCCCAGGGCTGCGCCAGGCAGACCAGGAGCCAGGGCCGTAGGTGGAACAGGCTGCAGGGCAGACCCGAAGCACATCAGCACCCCCGCGTTGTGGGGCAGGACATGCCTGCGTCTCTGGGCTGGCCTTTGTGGCCCCTTGCACTTGGAGAAGCCTGTGGGATGCTTACAGCCAGCTCCGCTCCATCGGGGAGGAGCAGGAGGCCGAGCCGACAGCGCGGTGCTTGTCTGGAGCCACTGTGAGCTGCAGTGGCCTGCGGCGGGCCGGCTCGCAGGCTGCCGCGCTGCAGGCAGGCGCAGGAGCATCGCCGGGATGGAGGCGGCGAAGAAGCGGCAGGCCTGGCTTGGCAGCAGAGAGCACGTTTGTGGCAGCCTGGGTGAACTCGCTTTCCCCGCTTCCCTGAGCGCCGGCGAAGCAGTGCTCGGAGCTGCCTGCGTGGGCTTGGCGAGAGAGGTGGGATGTGAAAGGCAGAGCTTGGACTGCTTCCCGCAGCGGGCTGGAAGCCTCTGCAGCTCTCCCTGTCCCCCCCCCCCATGGCTGGGGTGCAGCCTGCGTCTCAGTGGGGTGACCAGCCCGCAGGTCCGTGGAGAGCCCGGGCACCCACCAACGCCTCCATGCAGCGCAGACCCTGTGGTCCCCAGTGTCACCCAGCTGGGGCTGCTGCAGGGGCATGGAAGTGCCAGCCCCAAACACGTTGCCACAGGGACACGTTTTCCATCCCGCTCCGTTTCACCCGCCCCTGGTGCACCTCTCGTTGAGCCCATCCCTCTCTCCACCTCCGCCTCCCTGGTCTGTCTGCCCCAGGCTCGGAGCCGGTTCTTGGGGAAAGGAGGGCAGGGCTCTGCACGACGTTCCTGCCCCTGCACAGCCCCGGGGACCCGATGCGTGTCTGAGCCTCTTTCTCTCTTCCCCCGCCTGCAGACAGCAGCTTGCTAGGCAAGGACAGCCCCCCGACTCCCACCATGTACAAGTACCGACCTGGCTACAGCAGCAGCAGCAGCTCGGCGGCCTTGCCCCACTCCACCAGCGCCAAGGTAAGGCCGTGCCTGCCGCCGCCTTCCCGAGGGGCAAGGGGGGAATCCAGCCTCGAGGGGATGCCACCACGTTCCTGGCGGTGGGGTTGGGGTGGGCTCGGGAGCTTTGCGGGGGGGGGGGGGGGCCCCGTCTTTCTGCGGGTGACGGCTGTGTCTCTGCCCCTCAGCTGAGCAGAGTGAACAGCCTGAAGGAGCCCAACTCCATCTGCGAGAGCAGCCACAAGCCCAACTACCGCTCGGAGCCGAGCCTGGAGCCCGAGAGCTTCCGCTCGCCCACCTTCGGCAAGAGCTTCCACTTTGACCCGCTCTCCAGCGGCTCCCGCTCCTCCAGCCTCAAGTCGGCCCAGGGCACGGGCTTTGAGATGGGCCACCTCCAGTCCATCCGCTCGGAGGGCACCACCTCCACCTCCTACAAGAGCCTGGTGAACCAGACGCGCAACGGCAGCCTGTCGTACGACAGCCTGCTCACGCCCTCCGACAGCCCCGACTTCGAGTCGGTGCAGGCGGGCCCGGAGCCCGACGCGCCGGTGGGTTACACCTCGCCCTTCCTCTCGGCCCGCATCGCCCAGCAGAGAGAGACCGACCTGCACGGCCGCTTCGCCGGCGTCGTCTCGCCCAAGCACCCGCCGCCCCGCGAGCCCTCGCCCGTGCGCTATGACAATCTCTCCCGGCACATTGTGGCCTCCATTCAGGAGCGGGAGAAGCTGCTGCAGCAGCCGCCGGCCCCGTGCAGGGAGGAGGACGCGGGGCTGGCGGACTCGGGCATCCAGTCGACGCCAGGTTCCAGCAACGCCCCCCGCACCAGCTCTTCCTCGGACGATTCGAAGCGCTCGCCCCTGGGCAAGAACCCGCTCACCCGCCCGGCCCCACCCCGCTTCGGCAAGCCCGAGACCCCCCACGCGCTCCGGGTGCGCTCCCTGGGCTCCCCCGACCAGCCCGCCGCCCCCCACCTGGGCAAATCCGTGTCTTACAGCAGCCAAAAACCAGTGTCTCAGGCCAGCGGCCCCGAGACGGAGGAGGTGGCCTTGCAGCCCTTGCTGGCACCCAAGTAAGTACCAGCGCCGGCCGCCTCGCGTGCAGAGCGGTGGGGGGGGGCCCTCGCCCTGGGGGGAGCCGGCTGCCCATCGTACGTGTGTGTCGTCCCCCCGCTGCCTGGTGCCCCCTCCAGACCTCCTTCCTTTGCACCAGCTCCTGGGGGCAGTGAAATGCCCCTGTAATCTGGAGAAGGGGGAGGGAAATCCCCCTCCTCCTCCCAGAGCAGAGCTGGTGCCCCCCTCTCCCCTGGGGACACCCCCCCCCCAGGCCTCTCAGGGAGCTGGAGTGGTGTGTGGGTGCCGGAGGTCCCCAGGGCTGTGGCTGCGCTGGGTGCTGCGATCCCTCCTGGGGGTGACAGCAGCCCCACAGTCCTGTCCTTTCCCCACCACCACCCCTAACCCCTCCCCGCGCCCTCCCCCCTCCTCACGCTCTTCCTTCCCTCCCCAGGGACGAGGCGCAGATGAGAACAGCCTACAGCAAGTCCAACGGGCAGCCCAAGAGCCTGGGCTCAGCCCCTCCGGGCCCGGGGCAGGTGCCCCTCAGCAGCCCCACCCGTGGAGGAGTCAAGAAGGTCTCCGGCGTGGGGGGGACCACCTATGAGATCTCGGTATGAGGGGCAGAGCCGCTCGCCCCCCACCTCCTCCCCGGCTGACACCCGCCGGCCCCGGAGGGACGTTCTGCAGCCGGACGCTCTGCGGACTCCAGGGAGAGCCGGGCTGGGGGGAGACGGGCCAGCGGCCCCCACTGCTTTTCTCTTTCTCCACCCCTCCCCAGGACTTGGGGGGCTGACACACACCCGAGCGGGGCTGCTCTTCCTCCGCCCGCCGAGGACTGCCCCTGGCCAGGGGCGGGGGCTCGGGGGGGGGGGGGCTGCAGCCTGCAGCCTCGCGCCCCGGCACCATCTCGGCTGGGCCAGCCACTTGTGGGCCTTGTGCAATCAATCGCTCGCCTAGCGTGGTAGGAATGGATTGTTTTTAAACCAGAATACTTTTTTTTATTATTATTGTTACGGATTCTATTTTTTTTCTCTTTCTGAGTTATCAGGTGTGTGTATATATAAATATCTATATATATAAATATAAATATTAAAAAAAAAAAAAAAAAAAAAGCAGAAATTATATATCTTACCCAGAGAGAGGAAGAAACTGCCGGTTCCCTGCCCAGAGCATGGGCCACCCCTCTTGTCCCTGTCCCCAGAGGAGGGATGTGGGGCCAGGGCTGCCCCCCGCGCTCCTGGAACGAGCCAGGACAGGGGTCTGGTGCTGCTCTCCCACGCGAAGCGGGGCCAGCAGGGCTGTGGGATGGCAGGTGCCCCACTGGGGTGCCCCGTTCCCCCCGCCAAAGACCGAGGCGCCTTCAGCTGAGGACACTCCCCTGCCTGGTTCTTTGCTCGTGCCGCCTCCAGCCCTCGCTGCTGCGGCCCAGGGACGAGGAAGGGCCGAGGGGCAGCCCCCTCCCCAAACCCAGCCATGAGCTGGCACAGGTGGGTGCTGGCTGGTGCGGAGGAACACTTGTGGGTTCCAGCCTTTCCCCGCCTGCGGTTTTTTGCTCTTTTTATGTTTCCCCAGGGTTTGTGTTGGTTGGTGGGGGGTTGTGTTGGTTTTGTTGCTTTTTTTTTTTTTTTTTTTTTTTTTTTTTTTTTTAAATGGGTCTGATAGGGTTTTCACGTTGTCACGTGGTTGATTTTATTTCCGTTCGGGGAAGAGGAAGGCCAGCGGGGTACATCCCCGTAAAGCAATATTTTCTCCTCACATGCCAAAAAAAAAAAAAAAAAAATGCAGCCAAGGAGCCCAGTGCTCCCCATCCCCCCGCCCCTGCCTGGGCAAACCACCCCACGCAGGGGCCCACAAAACTTCAGGCACTACTTGATTCTTTCTCTACGGCAATATCTCTCCCGTGGCCTCTGCAGAGCCACACCATTGTTTTTTTATTAATTATTATTAGCCATTTTAAAAATGAGGAATAAAAGGATATTTAATGAGCCACCCCGGCGGGCATGTGTGTGCTTTGTTTAGCGTCCAGGGACAGAGGAGCTCCTGAAGGGTTCCCATTTTTCAGGGTCTCTGCCTTCCCCCTCCTCCTCTCAAGGGGGAGAGGAAAGGGGGCCTGAGGAAAGCTGAGCCTGGGGTCCCGTTTTGGGGAGGCACCTCCCGAGGGTGCTTTTGGGTGAACTCTGCTCCCCCAGAAGGTAAGTTTTTTTCAGGGCACGAGGAAGGCAGCTCTGGGGAAGGTGTCACAGGAGCTGGTGAGGCTCAGGATCCTGCGCAAGACGCTGGGACCGAAGGATGACAGCGGCGTCGCGCTGTGGCTGCTGCTGGAGCTCCCGGTGCCCACAGCGGCAGCCCCAGATTCTCTGCACCAGCCACCTCCATGCAGGGACATGGTGCCCCTCCAGGGCTGCTCCTGTCCCTGCCAGGGTTGGGAGGGGAGGGCTGGAGGAGCACAGAGCCCCTCGACCCAGCCCAGGAGCCCCTCAGCCCTGCTCGGGCAGGGGAGGGGAGGAGATGGGCTGAGAGCTGGAGCTTGGCCGCCGTCCTCCGTCCCAGGCCACGGCGTGTTGGGGCAGCGCCAATCCCACACGCCCTGTGGACCTGCTCGGGCTCAGCTCCTCACCTCACTGCGACAGCTGAGGGTCGCAGCACTAACCCTTCCTCAGAGCAGAGACTTTAATTAAAAGGTGACTAAAAAAGAGAGGTTCCCCCCCATGCACCAGGTTGTTTTGGTATAAAAGGCTGAGGTCAGCAACCCCAGTGCCAGCAGGGTCTGTGTCCCCTGGTCCCGGTTGGCTGCACGACGCAAGCGGGGGGTTGCGGGGGTGTCCTCTCTGCTTGGGGGGGGACGCAGGCCAGCCCGAGCCCCCCGGCCGAGCGCTGCAGGAGAGACGAGTCCCTCCTGGGTCAGTTGGGGCCGTTCCTGTCGGCTGGGGGATCCCCGGGGCAGCGCCAGCGCAGCCTCACCGCAAACTGCTGCTGCTGCTGGCCTGGGAGCTGCCCACCCCCGGGTGCTCCGGGCTGTGTCGGTTCTGTGGAGGAAGGACAGACACGTGCCCCGTGAGGGCTCCTGCTCAACAGCAGCACCCCTGGGGAATGGCCGCTCCCTGCCCGACAGCCCCCAGCATGGGCACAGGCTGGGAATCGGAGCCCGGTGCTCCCCACCCACCTTCTTTTTCTTCTTCTCTTTCTTCTTCCTCTTCCGTTCCGGATCCTCTTCTTTTTTCTTCTTTTTCTTCTTGTGGTCAGAGTCCGAGGGGGTTTCTGGAGAAACAAGAGCGCCAGGTGAGCCAGGCATCCTTGTGCTGGATGGAAGAGGGGCCGGCTGCAGCAGCGAGACGCAGCCCCTTACCTGGGGGGACGGGATCCTGGGTGCGGCTCTGCTTGTGCTTGTGCTTGTTCTTCTTCTTGGGCGGCTGGATGTGCATCAGCCGGCACTGCTCGGGCAGCTGCGGGGAAAGAGACGGAGCTGGTCAGGCCGGGCCGGGCACCTCCCACCCTGCTGCCCCCAGCCCCAGCGGCCGCCCCCCAGCTCCCAGTCCCCGGCTCACTGGGCCAGCGTGGAGGCGGAAGCCTGTCAACATGGTGCCGGTGAGGGGGGTGAAGGAGCTCCCGCAGATGGGGGGCTTCTCGATGAGGGAGCGTAGGCTGCTGTTGTCGTGGGAGCCGGGCAGGTCGATCATGCCGGGCAGGTCGGGGAGGAAGTTGCTGAGCTTCTCCTTCACCTTCTTGCCACAAAACTTGTTGTAGGCGTGCTCCAGGTTGTAGTGCGTGATCAGGTTGGTGCTCCCCGTCAGCTCCGTGGTGCCTGCGCCCGCCGCGGGGAGGGGATAGGGTGGTGCTGCCGCCCAGCAGGGCCCCCCCGCCCCACTCGCCTTTCCCACCCTCCCAGCACCGGGGACTCCCGGCCCTGCTCCCCACCCCGGCGATCCCCCCCAGCACCGGGGACCCCCTGGTCCCGCACCCCTCCCCTGCCCCCCCACCGGGGACCCCTGACCCCGCTCCTCTTCTCCCCTCCAGCACCAGGACCCCCCGGGCCCCCTCAGGGCCCCATTTCCCCACTCGACGACGGGGCTGCTTGACCCCGCCCCCTGAACGCTCATTGGCCTGCCGCGCTGTCAGTCTGCGCCTACCCGCCCACCCCCCCAACCCTCATTGGCCCGTCGCGCCGCCAGTTCCCGCCGCGCCCCCGCTCCGCCGCGCCGATTGGCCAAGCGCGGCGCCCGCGGCCCCGGCCCGCACCTGGCAGCTCCCGGAGCAGGTAGAAGGGGCCGCCGGCGGCCTTGCGGGCCGCGTCCTCGCCTGGCGGCGGCGCGGCGGCGGCGGGGGGCGGCGCGGCCCCGGCGCCCGGCGTCTTGGCGGGCCCGAAGCCCAGGGCAGCGGCGGCAGCGGCGGGCGGCGGCTCGGCCCCGCCGAACAGCGCCGAGAAGTTCTCCATCTTCCCGGCGTGCCCCGCGCGGGGCCGGCTCCCCGCCCCGCCCCGCGGCGATTGGCCCGGCGCCGCGGAGGCCCCGCCTTCCTCCCCGGTTGCTACGGGAGACTCCGTCCCAGCCTTGTGATTGGCTGCTTCTCCCTTCCCATCTCATTGGCCCGCCGCCGCACGGGCCGTGCCTGACGGCGCCGCTCACTACTGGCTAGCGATAAGGAGCCCCGCCTCCCGCGGACGAGCGGGCGGGCGGCCCAATAGGAGCGCGGCAGCTGCAGGGCGGGCGGGGCGCGGAGGGCAAGATGGCGGTGCTGGCTCCGCTGCTGGCGCTGCTGTACTCGGTGCCCGGGCTGTGCCGATGGCTGGCGCGGCCGTACTACCCGCTGTCCGCGCTGCTGGCCACCGCCTTCCTGCTCGTCCGCAAGGTCCCGCCGCTCTGCCAAGGGCTGCCCTCGCAGCGGGAGGATGGCAACCCCTGCGACTTCGACTGGGTGAGGCGGCCCGGCCCGGCCCGGTCCGCTCCGCACACCCCGGGAACGGCCCCGCACACCCCGGGAACGGCCCTTCCCTGCCCCCGCACCCCCCGGGATCAGCCCGGGCCCTCCCCCGCCCCACCCGGCTCCCCTCCTACCCCTACAGCCTGGCCCCCTGGGTCTGCCCTCCTCGCCCCACTCCCCGTGCCCCTGCATCCCCGGCCCAGCTGAGGGAAGGGGTTAGTGCCGTGGCCGCTGGCATGGCTCTGCCGGTGCCGTCCCAGTACCGGGAGGCTCCCCAGGCACTGGCAAGGATGGGAGGCTGTGCCTGTCCTTGTAGGGGCTCCCCCCTCTCCTTGTCTCCCCGTCAGGATTCATGAGGGAACAGGCAGGGACTCGGGCCTGGCGCGGCCGCTTGTCCCCGTGCCAGGCTGGGCCAGGAGCAGCCTGGCTGCAGGAGGGTGGTGCGGCGGCGGCTGTGCCAGTGGCTGCTCGCGGCAGTGCTGGGCGGCTGCGGGGTCCTGTGGGTGCCTCCTGCTCACGCCATCTTCCCTGTCGCAGAGGGAGGTGGAGATACTCATGTTCCTAAGTGCCATCGTGATGATGAAGAACCGACGCTCCAGTGAGTTGGGGCCTGTGCTGTGAGGGGGGCTGTGGGGCTGCTGACGGGGCCTCCCCCGAGGAGCTGGATGGGTTTGGATCTGGAGGATCAGATCTGTCCCTCCCTTAGGATCCCCCCTTGGTCTTCTGGGGGGATCCAGCCCTGTATTCTATCCCTCTCTCCCATCCCCAGTCACTGTGGAGCAGCACATCGGGAACATCTTCATGTTCAGCAAAGTGGCAAATGCCATCCTCTTCTTCCGCCTGGACATCCGCATGGGCCTGCTCTACCTCACGCTCTGCATAGGTGAGAGCTGCTGGGGGGGCAGCCCGTAGTGCTGGGGGCAGCGGTGGTGCCCCCCTGGCACGGCTCAGTCTGCCCTCAGCTCCCGCGCTCCCTGCCTGTCCTCCAGGCCACTCGCCTGGAAGGGCCAGAGCTCCCCCCCCGCTCTTGCCATGGGGCTGTCCTGTGGCCTTTGCTGCTGGAGGGGGCAGCTGGTGTCAGTAATCTGTGGGCTCAGGGGCAGCAGTGGGCTCGAGGGGGCTCAGGAAGAGCCTGGAGGGGGATGTCTATCTGCCCCAGGTCTGGCTTTGCCTTTGTTCCCCTGGGCTGCTCTGGGGAAGAAGGAGCCTTATCCCAAACCCTACTTGGGCCTTCCGGGCGCTGGGGGGAACAAAGGGGGCTCAGGGGTGCTGTTGTTGCAGTGTTCCTGATGACCTGCAAGCCCCCCCTCTACATGGGCCCTGAGTACATCAAGTATTTCAGTGACAAGACCATAGATGTGAGTATCCCCACCCTGGGGGGGTGCTGGGGGGCCCTGCCTGCCACCCCCTGCTGAGCTCTGCGCCCCTCGGCAGGAGGAGCTGGACCGGGACAAGCGGGTGACCTGGATCGTCGAGTTCTTTGCCAACTGGTCCAGCGAGTGCCAGTCCTTCGCCCCCATCTTCGCCGACCTCTCTCTCAAGTGAGTGGCACCCACCGGGGCCCTCAGTGAGCTGCAGGCCCAGGGCTCGTGCCCACCCCCACGCTCAGCCGCATGTCCCCCTCCTCCCCAGGTACAACTGCTCGGGGCTGCACTTCGGGAAGGTGGACGTTGGCCGGTACACGGACGTCAGCACCAGGTCTCAGGGCAGGCACCTGGGAGTAGGGCCTGTGCCAGGGCAGAGCCCCCGGGGGCCCCCAGCCCCCTCCGGCTACCCGGGGGTCACCATCAGCCTCTCCCCCCTCCTGCCACAGGTACAAGGTCAGCACCTCCCCCCTCACCAAGCAGCTGCCCACCCTCATCCTCTTCCAGGGTGGGACAGAGACCATGCGTCGGCCGCAGATCGACAAGAAGGGACGGGCCGTGTCCTGGACCTTTTCTGAGGTGGGTTCCAGCCCTCTGCTCCCCCCCCCCCACTCCCTGCCTCTGGGGCAGGATGGGGCTCAGCCCCCGGGCAGGTGCTGGGTGGGCACCTGGGGGTGCCAGCGCTGCCTTTCGGCCGCAGGAGAACGTGATCCGGGAGTTCAACCTCAACGAGCTGTACCAGAAGGGCAAGAAGCAGGCGAAGCTGCGGGAGGAGGGCCCTGAGGAGCCCCCCACCACGCAGGTCCCCCCCGGACCCCCGGACGGGGAGGCCAAGAAGGACAAGTAGGAGCTGCCCTGTGCTGCTGCCCATCACCGCATCACCGTCGCCACGGTGGCACCGGCCCCGCGGGGCCCGCCTGGCCCCCCCCGGCCCTGCCTGGGGCCCGCCCGCGCACGGGGGGGGGGGGGGCGCGGGGGAGACCCCCACCCGTGGGTCCACAGCCCCTGCGCGCCTGGACAGGCAGGGCCGCGGGACAGACCCCGCCCTCGGTTAACGCTCATCCTCATCGCTGACAATAAACGGCCGTGTCCGTGTCCGTGTCCGTGTCCGTGTCCGTGTCCGTGTCCGTGTCCGTGTCCGTGGGGCGGGGCCTGGCGCCTCGCGTGCCGCCGGGGGCGGAGCCGCCGCGAAGGCACCGTGCTCTGATTGGCTGGCTCCGCGGCGCCGGCTGCGCGGGGGGAGGGGGGAGCAGCGGGCGCGCGGGCGGAACCACTGCGCCTGCCCGCGGGGGAGGGGACGGGACGGGAGTGGTGTTCGCGCAGCCCCCGCCGCCCCTCACCGCTGACCCGGGAAAGGCGAGGGGGTCTCACGGCGACGTGTGGCCGGGGGGAGCGCAGAGACGGCCCAGCTCCCCGATCTGCGGGCTCCGGAGCGCCGTTCAGCGCCGACCCCCCCCCCCTTCCGACACCCCCCGCCGCCCACTCGGCGGGTCTGAGGCCGCGCGGCGCCCCGCGCCTGGCACGTGGTCGGCGCGGCAGGTAGGGGTGGCGCGGCGCCCCCGGGAACCCCACACCCCCCCGCCCATTCCCCCAAAGCGGGGCTCTCGGGACCCCCCTTCCCACCCCTCTCCCCCAAAACGGGGTTCTCGGGACACCCCCCCTTCCCACCCACGCACCGTGGCGGGATCCCTGGGCCGCCCCCCCCCCCCCCCGCCCCTTTCCACCCTCTATGGCAGGATCCCAGCAGGGACCCCCCCTTTCGCCCCCATGGTGGATCCGCGGGGACCCGCCCTTCCTGAGCCCCCCCCCAAAGCAGGATCCCTGTGCGGACACTTCTTTCCCCCCGCCCCGCCCCCAATAGCGGGATCCCTGGGGTCCCCCTCTTCCCTCCCCTTGTCAGCATCCCCGGGCCCCCCCTTTCCCGTTCCCCCGCCGTTGCGCAGGCCCCCATCGCCCCGGCGGCTCTCCCCAGGATGGCTCCCCGCGGGAGGAAGCGCGGGGCCCGGCAGCCGGCAGCGGCCGAGGCACCGGAGCAGGCCAGTGCCCCGCAGAAGCGGGCCCGTGCCCAGGACGAGGGCAGCCCGGGGGGCACCGGCCCCCGCATCATCATCGAACACTGGTGAGCCTGCCCGGATGCCAACGGGAGGGGGGTGTCCTTGGGGTGCCCCCACGGGGGTGCTGACCCCCCCCCCCCGTATCCCCCCAGCAAGAGTTGACGGGTGTTCGGGCGCAACGCGGCGGCGGTGAGCGAGGCTCTGCGCGGGGCCATGGCCCACCTCCCCGTGGAGATAAACCCCCAGCAGCCGCGCAGGAACAGCTTTGAGGTGTCGCTGGTGAAGGAGGACGGCAGCAGTGAGTGCTGGGTCTGGGGGGGGGGGGTGAGGGGGGGCTCCCCGGCACCCCTGACCTGTCCTCCCTTGCTCTCCCCAGCCGTGGAGCTGTGGAGCGGCATTGGGAAGGGGCCCCCCCGCAAGCTGAAGTTCCCCCAGCCAGAGGCTGTGGTGGAGGCCCTCAAGAGCAGCTTGGCATAGAGGTGGCGGCCAGGTGAGCAGGACGGGGATGGGACGGGACGGGGACGGGGACAGGGACCACACACCGACCGCCCTCTCCCCACAGCCAAGCCGGGACTGGCAGCTGCAGTGCGAGCGTCCATGAAGAGGCGAGATGAAGTGGGGAGCACCCGCCAGCCCCAGTCCCGTCTCTGATGCTGCAGCTCAGCCACGAGCAGCCACTGCCAGAACCCCCGGCTCCCTCCACATCCCCCCTTGTCCCCCTGCCGTTCCCCAATAAAGCTCAGCAGCCCCAGGGAGCAGCTCTAACGCTTTATTTCAATATCACGCAGCCTGGGGCTGGTGCAGCCCCTTTGCCTGGGGTGAGGGCAGCCCTGCCTGCATTGTCCTGACTACAGGCAGGGGCAGGGGGGACAGAGTCGGCCCCCCTAGGTGAGAACGTCCACCTCCTCATCCGACTCAGACGAGGGGCAGGGCCAGACGCAGATGGTGCCGGGGGGCAGGCACGGCTCCACCGTCCCCACATCTACCTCCTCCTCGGGGTCACCTGGAGGGTCTCCCAGGGGCACTGCCTGCCCATAGCCCTGCTGGGGTGTGGGGGGCACCTGGCCCTGCTTCTTCCAGGCCACCCAGGGCGGGGAGCGCCCGCCTGCTCGCCCCAGTGTACCCGCATCCGGGGGGGTGCGTGGTTCTGCCACCCCCCCATCGCCCGCTGCCACAGCGCCGGGTGCGGTGGGGGGCTGCCTCTCCTGCACCACCTCCCAGCACCCCCCACTCTCCACCTTCCGCAGCTTCACCCGCCTCACAGGGCCGGGGCTGGGGTGCATGGTCTCCGGAGAGCATGGCTGCCCCTCACTGGTGTTCCCAGGAGGGATGCCGGTGCCGCCGGGCTCAGCCCTGTCAGCCAATGCCACGGGGCAGCCGTGCTGGGGGGGGTGCAGGCAAGAGCGGTCAAGCTGCCGCTGGGGTCCTGGCCTCACCAGGCGTCCCCCCTGCAGCTGCAGCGACTCAAGCTCGGTGACGCGGAGACGGCGGGCAGCTGCCAGCACCTCCTGCACCTCCTCCCGCGTGGCCTCCAGCTCGGCAGTGTAGAGGAAGCGCACCAGCTTGCGCAGCACCCCGATCTTCAGCCCCCCCAGCTTCAGCACCACCCTGCGACCCGGCGGGGGCAGCTCCCGGGCCAGCTGCTCCATGAAGAAGGGGCTGCAGACGGAGAGGACACAGCAGTGGGCCACCACCGCCTCACCTGCAAAGCAACAGCGTCTGTCCCTGCCCTGCAGCCCCTTCCCCGCTCTGCCTGGTCCTCCCTGGGGGGTTGCAGGGACCCTGCCCGCAGGTCTCCCGTGGGCACTGGCACCCCCGTGGGCCACCCTGCCCGCTCACCTTCAGCCTGCAGAACCACGTCGCAGAAGACATCCGCTCGCTGCTGCTGCTGGTGGAGGTGCTGGAAGGCCGTCCGGAGCAGGCGGGTGCTGCGGTAGAGCAGCCTCGGGGTGGCTGATGGGGAGCCCATGGGCACCCTGCGGAGACAGCGTGGCCCTGGGGACACCGGGGTCTGCGCTCACCTCCCCCGCTCTGGACTGGTTTGGGACTGGGATGCAGCAGGGCCGGCGCAGGAGCGCAGGTGCAGGCACGTTTCGCATCACCCGTGCAATGACTGCACGGCCGCCGTGCAAAGCACCGTGCGCCCGTGCAACGGCCCGCGCAGCCGTGCAACAGCCCTGCAACAGCCCTGCAAAGCCCTGTGCGCCCGTGCAGCGGCCCACGCAGCCGTGCAACAGCCGTGCAACGGCCCGTGCAGCCGTGCAACACCCGTGCAAAGCCCTGTGCAGCCGTGCAACAGCCGTGCAAAGCCCTGTGCGCCCGTGCAACGGCCCGCGCAGCCGTGCAAAGCCACGCGCCCGCGCGGAGCCCCACCGGGCCGTGAAACCACCTCGGCCGCCAGAGGGCGCCAGCCGCGGCGGTTTTCGGGGGAAAAACGGGCGGATTTGGAGCCCTCGGCCCGCCCCGCTCTGAGGCGCGGCCGCGGGCCCTCGGTCCTCGACCCCGCGTACCTGCCGGCGGGGCGTGGAGGCTGCCGCCGAGGTCCCCGGGCGCCCGAGGCCGAGGAGAGGACGGGCAGGGCACGGGGACGGGCACGGGGACGGGCACAGGGACCGGGCGGCCGCGCTCCCGCCCCAGAGCACGTGCCCGCCTCACGCCCGCCGCCTCGCGTGGCCCGGCAGCTCGCCCCGCCCAGCAGCCGCCCCGCTATTGGCCCGTCCCGGCAGCCAATCGCGCCCTTCCCGCCAATGGCGGCGCGGCAGCGGCTGTGGCGGGAAGGGCGCGAGGGCGCGGGCTGAGGGCGGGCGGCCATGGCGGGCGGCCATGGCGGGCGGCCATGGCGGCGGTGGGGGAGAGGCCCAGTGGCCGGGGGGAGCCCCGGCAGGAGGCAGAGGGGCCAGAGCGCTGTGGGGGTGAGCGCTGGGCGCCGGGGAAGTGCCTGCCGCCAACCTCCCCCGCCATGTCCTGCCTGGTCATTTCCCTCAGCTCTCCTCTAGCTGTGGCACATCTGCGCTGCACAGGAGGCTGGAGGCAAACGCTTGTGGTCTGCTGCAGAACGGTGTTCCACTTGGGGTTTTGCAAAAAGCGGCCCCCGGGCTTCGGAGCGCGCACGGTGTCAGGCTGTGGGACCGACCCCCGGCTGCAGTGCACGAGCAAGGGGACGGCCCTCCCCGTGCTGGCCTTTGCCATCGCTTCTGCGGGGCTGCAGACCAGACAGCCGTGCCATAATTTGAGGAAAGAGCTCCATGTCGCTTGTGGTCACCGTCACTATGGCACTAAAGCACAAGATAAATAACTGGGGAGTGTGCTGTCTGCAGAGCAGCTCTTCCTGGCAGAGTGGCACTGGAGTTCATTAGTTCAGAGCCCTGTGCAGGGCCTTGTTTTGGATTTTCAAAATCTATTGTGGCCTTTCGTGTGAGAAATGGCATTTTCACGGCTCACTGACGCCTCTTGGGAGGAGCGGGGCACACACGTAGACAGTGGGCTTCTGAAGGGGAAGATTGATTGTGGGTATTCTGGAAGCAGTCCTTCATGCAAACGATGCTGCCTACTTAGTTTGAAAGTATTTTGTCATTTTATAAAGCATCCATTGTAAAAACATCTGCGTCAGTCACTCCACACACATGAACAACAATTATAATAATCCCAGCCCGATTGCCCGGAGATACTAGCTGTTCTTACAAACAACCAAAGTGGGTGGAAATTTCAAGAGCTACAGAAGAATAGGAGTCTAAATGACGCCAGAGATTTAAAATCTACAAAGTTTTCAAATGCGGTACCATTCCTTGATATTTTCTGTGGCTTTGCAGATGGATTTTCATCTGGTTTGACATGTGAGGATGTTTTTTTTCCTCCACTTTTGCTGCATGCAAAATGGACATAGACCAAGAAAGAAAGTGCCTGATGATGGGTCTGTGCCAGCGGCTGCTGAGGTTAGTGGCAGTCTTTCCACTGACCTCGGGTGGCTTGGAGCCCAGCCGTAAATACTGAGGGATACAGCACAACAAGTAATTTTGTATCAAACTGCTATCATATGTTCACAAAAATAGAAGAAAAAAATAGCGATGTTTCCTCCCCCAACCCTTGAAATCTTTTGGAATTACAATGGTTGGAGCTGTCACTTGGGCAGCTTGAATTCACCAGGCGCGGATGGATCCAGATACTGATTGAGGGGCCTGCCTGCCGATTTTAGAGCCCGACTACCGCTGCCTCATGTTTTTAAATTCATCCCCAGCCTGGTGATCTGCCTGTGGGTCCATGTCAGCCCCCACGTCCTTGGTCGCATCCCTGGAAAACTCCCTGTGGGAAGCACCTTCACCTTTAGAGAAGACCTCCACAGCCCTACAGGAGAGATGTAACTGGCCCCAGGACATGGTGAGCCGTCTGGACTTCCTCAGTGCTGTGTAGTATTTTGTGTCGTGCCCCAACCACACTGAGACGGCAGAGTAGGCAGAGGGGGAGTTTACTGAGTGGGGATCAGAAACGAAGCTGAGAAGAAAAGCCCTTCTTTAGCCAAGGTTGCGGTGCAAGTGGATGCTCTGATGTGGAGCCTGCAAGTGGGGGGACATCAGCACTGGAAAACACTTTCCAGCCAGGTAAGCCAACTGAGGCAGAGATGTCAAGGGAAAGACACAGAACTGGGGTGAAGTAAAATTACAAAATCCCAAGGCACTGGTATCAGAAGACTTCCCCTCGAGATCAGCAGGTGAGGCAGCGCCCCAAGTACTGAAGAAGCCCGAATCTTTGGTGCTGGCTCAGGATGAGGGACAGGACTTGCTCCCCTTCTCCAAGCTCACCTGGTGCCCCTAAAACCCTGCTGCAAAGGGAGAGAGAGCAAGGCTGCCCTCGCTTTGCAAGCTTCACCAAGAGCGCCAGTCATCAGGAGGGGAGAAATGCCCAGCGACTCCTCTGCTCCCTTTCATGTGTCTTGAGAAATCCCCTCCCGGGCTAGAAGCAGAGGCCAAGTTGTTCACTGGCTGTGGAGAAACAAGCTGCATTTTCTTGTCCACCCCAGGGAGGATGCCAAGGCATGGCTGGGCTCTTCCCTGTGTCCCGCTGTGTCCCTCTTACCACTCCTGAGGCCATCCCAGGAGCAGGAGTGACAAAAGGGTGAGTGACCCGTGTCTATCCCTGTCCTGGGACACCCTCAGGGCTACTGACAGCTCTTCCGTCTGCCGGAGGAGCAGAGAGCTGGCCGCTGCAGCCACCTCCTCGGATGGGGGGTGAACGCACACCCTGCACCCCTGGCAGAGACTGCAGGGGGTTTGGCTCTTGAGCTCACAGATGACAGGAGGGACAAAGTCCGTCAGCTCCAGCAGCAGTAGTTGCGCTCACATGGTGCAAAACAGCTCCCACATGTCCTCCCGTGAAAGGGCAGAGTCCACCCTTGCTGTACAAGCCTCCCCAGCCTATGGAAAGTGTTTTTCAGGTGGAATGTGGCACAGACCCTCCTCCGCCTCGTGGGCCCGCTGTGGACAATGGGATCCCAATGCCTGCAGAGGCAGCCCTGCTGCCGGGACCCGAGCCATCCCGTGGTGCGTCCTGTGACAGTGAGTGGGACTGGAGGCCCGGCAGCAGCTGTGGGAAAGGGTGGCTGTCACGTTTCCTGCGTCTGGGGCAGAGCACGCGGCCGGCTCGGGGTAGTGGAAAAGCCTGCGGGTGGGATGGGCTGTCCTTGAGTCAGACTCAGCACCCCCCGAGGGCTCTGTCCCACGCACAGAGCTGCTTTCAGGCAGTGACACACGACCCCGGCCCCAGCACAGGCGACAGGCCTTTTGCTTTGAGGCGGTTTTAGTATGTCACGGAGGCAATGGCATTAATCCCTGTCACGCAAAGCCCAGTCCTCTGCTGCACCCCCAACAGATGTGGTGCTGCCTCTCCCTCCTCGCCAATAGCATTGTCTGCCCTTAAAATTTACAGTTATATGGTCTGGCAATACTAGCAAACATTCACATTGCAGATACGCAAAAGAGGCCTTTTAGGAGCGTAACTTTTACTAGTACCCAAAGCCACATAATCTCCACTGGGAAAAGCACTGATACCCTTTTGCCCCACTGACCTGTCTCTTTAGACACCGATGACTGTGTTTGCTGCCAGAATTTGCTGGCTAAAAATATGTGACTGTAAGCTCTCACCGCCACACCAGCAAAATGTGTGAGTCAGTGAATCTTTCTGTCCACTTTCAGGTGCTCAGAAGCTGGCTACCTGCGGCACAGCCCTTGCTTTGCTGAGGCGGGGACTCAGGCGCCTGACCTTGGCGGGTGGCTGGGCGCAGCCCTGGGTGACTCAGTGGATCTGGAATGTCAAGCTGGGTTTATCTCCTGGTGGGATTCACTGGAGAGGGGAAGAGAAGGTGGCTGGATCTGGAGGTAGCCTAAACATGTGCTGGTTATCCAGGCTCCCTCTGCAGTTGATAGGAAGAGAGGCCTCCCCACAGGACAAGTCATGCCTGCCCAGTGCCTCCCAAGCCCTCAAATCAGCAGATTCTGAGCTGGTTTCTTTAAGAGAAAGGAAATTACCATCTTGAGTCTCACAACCACGATTGTTTTTGAGCAATGTTCCCTTTTGCTTGTGTTGCTACACTGCAGTGTGTGAGCTGCTTCTGTTTCCCCGTTCTCAGGATGTACCTCGTACTTTGCTGCAGCTGCCACTGAAGGGAAGGATGAAGGCAGTGGTCTGTGGCTGGGAAAAGAGCTGGAGGTGGAGAGAGGAAGAAGAGCCTGTAAGTAGCGATGGATCATTGCAGGGCTGGGGGGGAAGGAGATTTCTATGCATGCTTCAGTCATTTGCACGTTTGAGCAGCAGAGGTGACAGGAATTTGACAGTCCAAGAGCACAGTGGGATGCAGCCAGGTCAGATGTCAGAGGTTAATAGTGGGCCGGTTTGCAGGCACGGGAGAGCCCAGGCACAGCAAGAGGCAGGCGGTAGGCAGATATCACGCTTTCCTCTGACTCAGTGCCATGCTGAGCATGTGGAGCTGCCAGACACTGCTCCGGGAAGGTGTCAGGGTGGACTGTGGACTTGCTTTATTGCCTGGCATCTTTGAATTAGGGCTGAAAAGTTCCCGCAGTCCCAGCTTCCCTCCTCCACTTTAACGCTGATGTCCGATGGATGAGTCGTTTCACCCCCCCTGGTGCCACACTTCCCCTTGTGCAGGGGGAAGACAACAACCTGTCAGGATTCCCATAGGAAAGGGGCTACGGAAGTGCCTTGTTATCCTGATTTAGAACAATGCCGGCCATCTCTCTGAACCGCCTGCGCTGGACCCAGAGACGGCAGCCTCCCCTTCCTCCTGTCCTCCACCGCCAAGGAGCACTGGTCTGTCCTGTAAACAAGTCGTCTTGCTCTGTTCCGGTGGTAGCTGCCTTTTCTGGGCAACTCATCTGGGTAAGTCATCAGCAGCACTATAGGATGGATGAAAGGGGATGTGCAAGATGTTATTACACGTAATTACTGTAAAAAGTCAAATTTTCCTGTGCTAGTAATATATCTCTTATTTGCTTCCCAGAAAGCAGTGGAACAGACTCCTCTGCCACAGTAGTTATATTCACCTGATCTACTGCTGGGTGAGCCAAAGCCAGAGGATCAGGGTTCAGCCCGTCTTCAAAAATAAGCATGCATTACTGGGTCTTCTGGCAGTTACTGGGGCAAGGCTGAATCGGGAGTTCGAGTTGACAGTGTGCTGATAGACCCTGTCCAGCTCCATCCTGCAGCCCTCGGGACAAGAGGCACTCCTGTGGCTTCAAAGAGATCTGACTCCAGCTCCAACTCAGAGCCAGCAGAGGTGTGTTCACAGTGGCGCATTTAATCTCTGAAGAAACTGAAGACTTTAAAGGCTGTTAAATTTCTGGGCTGATTGGAATGGCAGCGATGCGGCCATCTACCAGGCACATCAGAAGGCTGCCCTGGGCTTTCTGCACCAGCGGCCACATACCTGTTGTCTGCATCAGGGGCAGCCATCT